CCTTATTTGCACAAAGACAAAGTGATTTTTTTGCTATGCTGTACCTTCGTTATCTATCCATTCTTATGTACTAGGAGACAATGAAATTTCTTACTTTGCAATATGTTCGTTGCTTACCATCTGGCATTTCATTAAGACAAATATTAATTTTCCCTACAGAACCTTCAATTTCTATCATCCCTATTTATTCAAAGACAAACTAATTTCTTGTTTTGTAATACTTCATTGAGTAATCCTGAAATGCATTAAGACAAATTAATTATTTTGCTCTTCGGTACTTTCGTTATCTATAATCCTCATTTGTTTATTAATTTATTAATTAGGTGATATTGGTGATAACAAGGTAATTTCGAGCTCTGCAATTTCGTCGAGATATACTATCTTTTGCAATAAAATAATTTTTTTTTCTCTGCAGTATCGTTGTGATTGCCTATCCTGTATTGCTATTGGAAAACGTAGTATAAAGTGGTTTCTGTTTTTATAATATCTTTGTAATTGACCATCTTGTTTTAAAAGATGCCAAAGCTTCTTTATCATAAAATTTATGGTTAGGAACATTTTTTTTTACCTTAACGTTTTTGAAACCGTTTAAAACTGGTACGGTTTGGAAACCGAGAATCTTAAAACCCATGAAACATATACGGTTTTGTAACCATTTACTACTAACATAGTTTCTAAAATGAAACTTAAACGGACATTGCAGCTCTGTGGTGCTTGTGCCATTTATTCGCGAATGATAGTTTCGTATTCTAATAGACCAGGATCATCCATTAAGGAGTACAAGACAATGGGAACTTTTCATGCGTTGAAGGAATAAAGGAAATATTATGGTATCGACACTGAGATTCGAACCCCTGTCTGACCTATTTGTCCTCTCGGCTACAGTATTCACCCAGCTGCACGGAAAAAAATGGCTCCATGAAGTGGGCCTGGTGGGTGCGATAAAATTCTGGTTGTTTAACCGTATTAGGTGAAAACGATAAATAAGCGTTCTTTCTTATACCTAACAGTTTGAATATCATCTTTTTTAAATAGTTATTTGACTGTTTTGGTTTTATGGGATTAACTAACAAATAAATAGCTATTTAACCATTTCTACCTAGAAATTTCCAACAATGCACAAAGTGTGTCAAGGAATTTGTTCTGTCTTTTTAGAGTTCCAGTAGCTTGAAGACTCTCGCGCATTTTAACGTAATTTTTGTTAAAATCTATATTGCATGTCAGTCAGGTAATTTCAAGGTATATGAATTATCATTATATTTAATTTTAAAAGTTAATTCCAGTGGCGTTCGTAATTGCAATTCCCGAAGGTGCCGAAGTTTCTGAAGAAGGGTGCAATCACACTTCAGGAATCACCAGGATTTATTTTCACTCTCTTCACTTTTATCACGGGAGCTTATCTTAAATGCGCTGTTTAGAGAGCTTATCACTAAGTTACATGCGTTAAAGTGGCACTAATTTTGATCTCTTTTTTATCTCCTTTTTGCTCGTCTTCATCGGGAAGAGGGTGACAGAGCACAAAATACAGATCGAGTTTATATCTCTGAGAAAAAAATCTTTTTCATTTTTGAACGATTTGTTTGTTTGGTTCATTTAGCCGTTTTAATCAGTACAGTGAGCTCTTTTTTCTCTGTCATTCTAAACTCCATGGGTGAGATCGAGACAAAGTTTGCATTTGCCGACCTTGTACTCTTCTATTCAGCCTTGTAAAAACCACCGGGCTTACGATTTTTTGTAAACAAGTGCTGTTGTGTTGAAGGGGACCTCAAGATATATTTTTTGCATTTAAACGACGCATATAACATTTCGTATTATGACTACACATTAGACTTTTTGAGTCACTTTCCCTACTACGTATATTTAAAAATCTAATGATGGTGTCCCATAGTTGTCAATACTTTTTTATTGGCTGGAAAATCATGTTTGGCTGTCATCAGCGTAAAGTTATTGTTTTTCCATAAATATTCTTTGTTTCCCTAATTTTAGGGTTAAAATTACCTATACTGTTATTATTACGTTTTTGATTTTGATTGATTTCTAAATTAAGAGTTTAGGAAGATTGTTTTTATTATTATTATTATGTAATTTTTCTTTACATTTTAAGATAAAGCTTTATAAATGGGTGTTTGTTCTTATTAACAGTTTTACAATTATTATTTTTTGGTGCAAATTACATTTATATACTATTCGGTAAAAGATATTCGTTAATTGATTTGGAACTTCAGCTTCATGCACAAAGTGATGAATGCAAAAATGCTATAGGTTTTAATTTAACAAGAAAACAATTATCAAATTGTTTTATCAACTGTTGAAAAAAAAAAGAAAATGGGAAATCTGTGAGGCATTTTTTAAATAACAAAGCTTCATAACTTGCAACTAAGGAGAGAATTTCCCAAGATTTGTGTGTCGGGGAAATGTGTTAAAGTATGTCACACTATTTATTTTAGTTGCATTTGTGTCACTGATAATTTACTTACACTGAATTCGTTTTTTATTTTTTACTACTAATTCAAAAGTAAAATTATGGTCCCGAATGGAGAAAAAAAAACATTAAAAGTTTTCTCCAACTTGTTGGAAATTTCATTTTCAAATTACGATAAAATAATCAGCAGAAATCTGTCCATTCAATTAAGTGTTAAGTTTACGATTAGAAACGTTTCTTTACCTTTTACGGTTTTGATACCGTTTACAACTGATATATTAAAAAAAAAAAACATGAATACAAAACTATATGGCTTTGTAATCATTTACAACTAACATGGTTTAAAAACCGTAAAAATAAAATTTAACTGGACATTGGAGTTATGTTAGGTAATGGGCATCGAAGTTGGGTTGTTGTTGGGCTCTGTGTTTTGCCAAGTGAACAGAAGAATGTGTCTTAATTAGTTTATTGGGTTAGGCCATCTATCGTGAGAGATAGGAAATACTAGACTTTTTGAGTGAAACAGCTCTGTAGTGCTGCCTCTACACGTGAATAAAAGTCTCGTATTTAAACAGTCCATTATCACCAATTGCAGACTTCTGGAAACTGTTCGTATGTTGACAAAATGGGGAGAAATATTTTGGTGTCAACGCTGGGATTCGAACCTCCATTCAGCAGGTTTTGAGGCTAACAGATCGGCTGTAGTATGTAATCAACTGCAAAAAACTAAATAGTTTAATAGGTGTGCCAACTTGGAGCGGATAAAATTTTGGTTGTTTAACAGTACTGTGGAAAACAATCAATAAATTATTTTTCTCATAATTAGCAGTTTAAATGCTCTCTTTTTTTTATAGTTATTTGATTTTGGTAGAATTTTTTATTTTATTTTATAACCGTCTTTGAACAGCCGACCTAATTTTAGGTTTACCACTACCAATGTTCAACTCCGTATCCTTGTAATTTTGAAACCAATCCCGAAGACAAGAAAACTAACTCGTGGATCAAGCATTGGGAGAAATTTGCCTTCGTTTAGGACTTTTTGGTGGAACTAACCCGCATTTGCGTAACAAGGAAAGGCAAACCACGAAACCCTCACACGGGTAGCCTGACGGTAAGGGGGCTCTAACCCATGGTCCATCTACCACTGAGTATATTTTACTTGATCACTGTGGTCGATGCGAGATGGGCGAAGAATTTTAATCGATCAGCTATCACTGGAATTCGAACCCGGTTCACCTCATTGAAAGGCGAGTGTTTCATCTCCTGAGCAACCACGGCTCTTTGGTGGAATCTTATAAAGTAACAATTAAATAAATTTTCGTTTGACGATTTTTTTCTGAGAAATTTCTGCCGGTACAAATTACTCAAAAGATAAAAATCGCTGCTCCAAACTGTCCAAAACAGATTCTCCGTACTTCTTCAAAACACCAAACATCCAATTTCATATCAAGTTATCTTACGATTTGAAAAAGAAAAATGAATACACTTGATCTTGGACAAGCTCAAGAACTTTAATAAACACCGCCTTTTAAATTATGATGCAGGCTACTTCACAATCCTTTTTTAAATACTTTAGTTACATGCTTGCAAAATGTCGCGTTTTTATGAGCATAACTTGAAACGTGAAGATAGAGAAACAAAGGGGTGTTAACCATCACGTTAAGCGTCAAAAGTTTAAGAACCGTTCATAGGAATTAAAAAAGGTCATAAGTCTATTACGATTTTTTGCGCTATCTTTTTTTTCTCTCTCTTTATTATAGCGAATCAAACCTTTAATTTATAAGAGATTGAAAGCAGTAAAAGTGATTACAACAACGTTATCATAACCTATTAATAATCAATATAAAGAAAGAGTAAAAAAATTTTGAAAGTTTATTATATTTGCCGAAAAGGAAGAGATACTCTTATAAAAATTACTCTATAATAAGTGCTAAAACAGTCTCTAAAAAAAATTCTTAAAATTTTTTATCACTTACTAGAGTATTTGGCAATAATTATTGCATAAAAAACTAAAAAATGAGCTTAAAAATTAATTTTCATCTTAGATAATATTTAAAATGTAATAATTTTTTTCTCAATATAAGGAAAACTTATTTCCGTGAACCTTCAATATCCACCCAACATTTGACACGTTCCGTTATTGATTCAAAAAGTTTGGTTGAAGTAAGTCTATAAATTCTTGTGATCTACTTTTAAAACCGTTTTTAAAAAGATAATGTGGTTAATTTATAGACAAACTCAAGACTGATATTCTTTTGAAAAAAAGTATGAAAAGATAAATTAATTTTCAATTTTTCTTCTACTTAAAAACTATTTCTGTAAAACAATTCGTAACTTGAAATGCTTCTATTTATTCAAAGTTGGCACTTTAAGGAAACTTTTAATTAATTTAACTGGAGATAATTTGTGCTACGGATGAATAAATAAAAGCAACGTGAATAAAACTCAAATAAAAGTGTGAAGAAATAAACAGCAATTTTCCTTGTGTTTTCTTCGCATATTTTACTTGTTGTGTTTTGTATTGTATGACTTATTGAAATCCTTTTTTAACAATGTTTTTTTATATATATATTTTCAGGTAAGAAATGGAGAGGGTTGAGTCACGATGACAGAAGGCCTTATGTGGAGGAAGCCGAACGATTGAGGGTGCAGCATATGCACGATTATCCCAATTACAAGTACCGACCTCGAAGGAGGAAAAATACGAAACGTGGCAGTGTGCGGAAAGGAAACGTCGCTGCTCCTGAATCTCCACCCCTCATGGCCATGCCATTCCCGGCTCCATCACCCTCGTACTCATTTCCTCAAGGAAACAGCCATCTCATGGGAGGATACAGCGGAAACGGCAGATCTTCGTCCATGGGCGGAATGGATGTCTGTGGCCTTCAAACTCCAGATTCATCCCCTCACGGAAGTCCGTGTTCTGAGGCCAATGTCGCTCGAAGAATGGACGGATACAGATATCCTGAGTTCATGGGCATGCCCATCAGCAACAGTAATTCGCAACCCACTACCAACGGAGAGCTCACTGGGTCATCCAACGTAAGTCCCGACTCTATCCGTTCACTGCCCACCCCTGAAATGTCACCTATTGACAGGGATCAAGATGGTTTCATGTTCCAAAAGGAGGGAGGCAATGCGGAGACAGGACGACGTGAAGGCAACGAGAATCCCGTCTCGCAGCTTATTACTCGCTTTAGCGACTCATCTAAGTTCCTAAAGAACGTTCGTCCGCCATTTCCCGTAAGAGGAGCTCATCATTCGCAGAATGTCATGTCTCTGAGGGAATTGGTTGCCTCCAGTAGTAATCCTGCCGCAACCTATGCCGCCTTAACTGCCATGTCACCACTTCCCCACTACTCTATGGCTACAGACATGATGTCTCCAGATCACCAGAGTTTGATCAAGAGTCAAGACCAAGAGGACAGAAACTCTTGCAATTACCCCTACACTTTCGGGAGTGATATTAAACCACAGAGGCCTTTACCCTCTTACAACCCTTTTCCGTCCACCACGCAATTCCAGAACGTCGTGTACTACCAGCAAGCTAGATATTCTCAAGCTGGTGATGGCAACTATTTTACTGATTTTCCTGAAAATGAAGTGATTGGCGATGAAGATAGGAGTGAGTTTGAAAAATACCTCAAAGGGAGCAGCGGGAATGCAGTAATGTCTTCCCATTTTCCCGATGCCCCTTACCAATGCGTTGAAACACCCAACTACGCCGAAATGCACAATGAGGCTACAGCAACGGACAAAAGTTTTCTTGGACTACCCATGGAAAGTACTGTTGAGGACATGTCCTCATTTTCACGAAATGTAGCCGCTCCTTCGAACCTTACGGCTATATATGGCGCAACCGCGTCCCCAAATAAAAGTGAAAATTCTGGACTGATAGCGGCTCTCTCTGAAGCACGACAAATCATGCTATAATCTCAGAAATTCAACGTACAAAATTGTGATTGAGTTAACCGGTGTACACGAAAGAGTTCTAGTGCCTTGAACTCAAAGTGCCTTTCCCAGGTAATGAAAGAATTTCTAGTGCCCTGGTCATGAAAGAAATCTAGTGCCTTTATCCAAAGCATCTTGGTCAAGGCGCCATTGAAAACATGCTGAGACTTGATGCCTATTGTCTTCCTTATTTAAAAAACCCGAGTCTAGATCTCTGCAGAATGGATTGACAACTAGAATTACCTCAAAAGGACTATGAATTACTTAATTCGTGCCATTGAATTTATTTCAAGTTTTCAGTTTATGGCAACTTCCTCCGTATGCCACTGTAAAGATATGTTTGGCATACTCATCTTTATTTTTGTAAAGTGATATTAGACATTTTTTGGACTCTAAACTTGAATGCAATGGGTGCCGTTGCCGTTCGAGAAAGTTTGAAACCCGGTGTAAAATTTATTGAAAGTATTACAAAAATAGTTTTGATGCCGACAGAATGGTTAGAACGTTTATTCAAAATGAACTGTTCATAACATGTCTGTTAAAAGACGTAAGTCTGAAAGACTTATTATGTGTTTCTGCTGTGTAAACGTGCAATATATGTGAGAAGGAAGATATGCTTTCAGTTTGAGTATTTTTAAAAAAGGCATATCGGTAGAAATTTTGTAAATAGGGTTCATTAAGAGTGATTTATATGTTTATTATTTGAAGATTTTCAATTTATTGTACATTTATAAATTTAACTATTTCATGGAAACTATAGTGCCCATATTTAACAAACGTATTGTTTTAGAAAGTGAAGGATATATTTTAAAAAATATATACTCTTTTATTAATTATTCTAAAAACAAGTCATGAACTATATTAATTTATGTTTGAAAATTTTCATACATATTAGGTTTGAATATAACTGAGCAAATAAGATTATATTCTGAATTTAAGAAGACAAAAATCATGAATTAATGAACATTTTGACCTAATTTACAATCTACCCTCCCTAATTGTTGAACAATAATACCAGAATCATAATATGGTTCAATTTGCTGCAATCTTAATAAAGTGTTAAATTAAACTATGTTACCGTTCAAACTGTGTAGTTCTGAATAATAACAATTCAATTTAAAGTTGTGGCAAATATGAACGATATTTTTATTCAACACACTCAAAAATCTTCTAAAGTATACTGTTCCTGTTCATAATTAGTCAATTTAAATCAAGTGATCTAAATAGATGTTATTTGAAATAAATTGTTTTAGTATATTTATGTTTTACGAACTCCACTCAAAATCATTTAACTCCGCAGTATATTGCATGTTGTTTGAGCCATTTTTTTTTTCTCTCGAGAAACATCAAAAAATGTTTTCGTGTTTCTCGTTTGAAACTTTCACCAAAAAAATTCTTTTTTTGTTCATTTTCAGTATTAGTGAAGTACTTAGTGTTGATTTTGTTGCATGGAAAAGAAGAATCACACATTCCATTTTGAACTGTATAATTTATGTGTTTCAACACAATGTGAGAGAATTTTGACAAAAACGTGTTACCATTTATATGTCTGGTTGCTTCCAACTCTATATATCCATAATAAGATTTTCTTTCATGTTTACATCTCTGTCGTAAAAATATAATATCCTAACTAAATATTTAGGTTTTGATTTTAATAGCTGTGTAATAAACATAAGCAGGATTACGAACTGTTATAAATTTCCCGTTTTCCGCATGGATTTTAGAACGTCGGAATCGAGGAAATCCCAATTTTCCGGGTTTTTTTAATGATATTTCTTTTTGTTACAAAACTCTACTTCTAACTCATACTACTATTTGTAAATTGTAACTACTATTTGACTGTTTGTAATTTCCTGCTGAAAGAACTTATTCAATATGTACCTAATATTTTTGAAATATAATAGTCTTTATATAATTAAACATACATTAAAGTTCGTTTAATTTTTTTAAATATAAGTTGGAAAACATCCATTATTCAGCGTATCATTATTACTACGGAAAATTACATCTATTATTACAAAAAATTACCTTCGGTACTATGGAAAATTATATAGATAAGAAACTACAAAAAAATATTACATTCTTACTGGTTGGTGTTCCTGCTTATGATTCCTTATAAATTATTCTGATTGTTCATGGCTTATTAAGATTTTAATTTAATGACTTATAATTTGATATTGCTTTATGACTCATGATTTCAATTAGTGACTTATGATTTTAGACTTTCTCTATGACTTATGATATATTTTGGTGACTTTATGGCATCCGATTTAATTTTTATGATTTTGTTTGCAGTCTTCATGGTTTATTATTTATATTTTTGAAAAACCTTTTTTGTTTTTTTTTTAAATTCGCATATTTTCTGTGCAATGCTATTAAATGTAAAGTGTATGTTTAGGAATCCATGCGATTGAAATGAGATGTAATTATTGTATCCCACACTGTTAGTTAGATAACTACTTGTGTGTATGTTCAGGAAATTCCTTTTGTTTGTATTGTTCCTATTTATGTATACCACCGATACTTGACTCATGTCTTTCGCTATTTTGTTAAAATGTAAGAAACAGAAGGATAGCTGAAAATGCTGAAAATATGGAGAGTTTGAAATATGGACATTTTTATTCAAAACTAACATTACGTAAACGTTAAATTTTCAATTTTATCGAAAGCTAGAAAGATCAGTGCTTAAAACTTTAATTTTAAAAATTTTTTTAAATGATTCATAAAAGATTCATGCGCATTTTCTTGTAAATTTTTATATGATATAAAAATGTCAAAAAAATAGACATCAAATAATTTTTATCTTCAAACAGCAACAAAGTTTTTAAATTTTCAGAAAATAATGATTTTAATAATTATTTTAAGCTAAACCGTCAAATGTGTAAGAAAAGTGTTTAAAAAATGAATTATTTGGAATTTTAACTTCCATGGCGACCTTAATTTATATTTTACTTTGGATTATAAGCGGATTGGATTTTAAAAGGCATTTTTTTACTGTTGATGAAAATACATTAAGTTTTTTTAATATGAAAATATACATGGAGAAAAAAAATTATGGTCAGAACTACCAGAATATGGTACAATTTACCTTGTTCCTGGCTCTATGGAAACTTCAGAAAAACACGGTAATTTTTACTGAAGCAATGTGCTAATGATTTTTAAAATTAAAAATAAAATACTGTAAAATATGTGTTGAAATTAGGTATTTTGTCATGATACTTTAGAACATGGCTTAAAAATCCTTTATTTGGTGACATTTACTTTTTAGTTTTGTATTTATTACTAATTGTGAGATAATACGAACTATAATTTTGAAAACCAGAATTTCCGCTAAACCATTTATATGAACGGAAACTGTAACCGTATGAATGGCTTAAATAAGGTATTTTTTTAGTTTTATTACCAGAATTATGGTTTGTTTTTTTTTAACCAGAAATGCCCTTACCATATACACTACGGTAATTTTTTTCTGTGCAGAACAACGACTGAGAGTGTAATTTAAAAATGTGTGAAGATTGTTATGCATAAATGTTACGCATCAAAAAATTTTTAACATTTATAAGATTCCTAAAAGTATTCATATTAAAATTTATATAGTGCTATATTTGCTAAGAAATATTAAGATGTCGACTTATTTTTATACCATTACTGTAATTATAAATATAATATCAATCAAAATTATAATATTGCAGCACAATTTGAAATTTATATTTTTATAATTATTAATTAAAATTAGAGTTTATAAATTAAACAACTTAATGGAGGATCATGTGATATTTTGAAATTTCAAATTTTAAGTTCAAGTTATGAACAAGTTTAAAGATTTGAACATTATTTGAATTTATTCTGCCAAGTGTTTCTGTTAAGTGGTTTTCAAAACAGAAAAAGAATGTTTTGCATATGACTTCCCGATGTTTCTGTACATTCGTATGATGATATTTTTTCAAATTCTCTAAACTTCACTTAACATGCCTTTGCATATTTTTAGCATGCTTTCCTCTAAGATTTTTGTTTATATTAACAACACATATCCAACCTTCGATGATTCTAAATTTCTTAAACTTATACAAAAAGAATGAAATACTTTCTGTACTTGGACATTAGTAATTTTGAAATATGATTCTTGAAGCAGTATTAACTTGTATAAAAACAATTGAAATTATTTGGTTTAAAACTTTTCAGAGTATTTTACGCAGATTTGCTCATCATTACCGGTGTGGCGAAGAAAAATTGTATTTCTGTTATAAATTCTATTTTTATATAAATTATTTCAAATTTATCTTTGTAATTGTTGACATGACTTTTATGAAAAAATGAACTGTGTTTGACTAGAAATTTATTGGAGCAACCTATTGTGGTGAATAAAATTTGTCTTTAAAATATTATTGTCTCTTTTTTATGTTTAATTCTGTAGTATAGCGAAAACATTTAACATAACATCTTAAAACCAAAAAAAAGAAGGGTTTTTTTCAATGCAGCGTAAAGTGTGCAAAAAACGCACCACCCTAAATAATTTTTGATCTAATGATTGGATCTTCACTTTCTAAGACTCAACCGTAATGGATCGAAGGGGTGACCTCATACATGCTAATTAATAATGGCTGATGATATTTTGAGTTACAAAATCAGACACAAAAAATTTACTTTCTCTGAATAAACATACCTTTTTTTTCGACGGATTTAGATTTTTAATCCCTGAAAAATAGGGTTGGCTGCAATCTGAAAAATAGGGGAGAGTGGGGTCAATTGTAACAGGGTACGATTGTAACAGAGCAAAAATTTCGAGTATCGGGTTCTAGATTTGGTTCCTAGGTGGCGCACAAGGTGTATTTAATAAATCTACATGTACACCCCTGATGGCAACCATTTTTATGTACTTTTGAAAGAGTTACATCACAAAAGATATTTTCACGCCCCGAAAGTACTTTTTTTGGTATTAGAATATTATATTGTAACAAAGTAATTTTGTTTAAACAAATAAAAATTAGTAACCGAATATGTAAGTGGACACCTTAATTAACATTTCAATAAAAAAAAGATTAGTTTTGCTAATTAACTAGCATTGTTTTTAACAAATGAAGCTGAAATGGCGTCTTGGGGACAATTGTAACAATAAGTAAAGGGACGATTGTAACAGCTGAAAATAAATAATCTTATGTTTACAAACCATTACTTAACTCTTTAAGAACCACCAATAGTTTCCTATATCATTTATATTATGTTGCATGTGCATTATTTTATTTGTCACCTTTCACAGCATAAATTAAAATTTTTAACCCCTTAAAGTTAAAAGTTTAACCCTTTAGGTCTCTGCTCATTATTATTTTTACTCCTAAAATATCACTACTATTTTGATCAATAAAAAAATATATCACAACTATGATAATATGTATAATTAACTATGTTTTAGTTGAATTTATGAACTGTTACAATTGACCCCGTAAGTGGGGACAATTGTAACAAGTGCACGACTGTCAAAAATTGTTAATAACTAATATAATAACATTTAAAATAAGGTATTTATTTTTTTTTCTAGTAGAGGATAGTCTACTTTACTCGTCTGTCAATTAATACTAATAATATATTGGATTTTTTGTTAGTTAAAAATAGTTAAGTAAAAAATGTTACAATTGACCCCACTCTCCCCTACTGTTGTCAGGAGAGTGCTTCAAAGTTAATTTTACTTTTTGTGTATTGTTTAACCCATGATCCATTTAACATTAAGGGTATTACACATCAGCACTATAGTCGGTGCGAGCTGGATGCGGAATTCGAATCTGCCAGCCATTGCTGGATTCGAACCCGGGTTGCCTCATGGGAGGCGAGCGCTTTATCCCCTGAACCACTTTTGCTCGTTTTTACTCGTTTTATTTGCTCGTTCGCATCCGGCTTACACCGATCACAGTGCTGACGTGAAATATCCTCAGTGGTAGACGGATCATGAGTTAGTATCCCCTTGCCGTAAGAGTGTTTCGTCCTTTTCCTTCCTATGTAATGTAAAAGTTTACCCCAATGCTTGATCCAGGGGTCCCCTTGTCTTTTGACGGGGTTCAAAATTACAAGGCTACGGAGTTCACATTGATAGACGTTAACTCAGGATTGGGGGGGCTCCGAACGCTGGATGTTTAAAAAAATTAAATTTTTTACATAAAAGCCACACTTTAACTTCATGTTCAACTCCATAAAAAGTCATGTTCAATTTGAAACACTGCTAAAAAAAATTTCCTCCATTTACGAAAAGCATTAACTAAAGAAATAATAAGAACTAACAACAAAAACTCTTTTAAAAAGCGTTCAAAATTATAAATATGAAAATATGAAATATGAAAATTGCTACTTTTGGGATTTGGAGTAAAAGAACCACACTTAATAGTAAAGAACCACACTTATGATCTACATTGTGAAAAAAACTCTGTAAATGAGGATTTGTTACAAAGTTTCTTTCTTTCCGAAGTTGTTTATAAATGCTTCCAAAAGGTGTGAAAAAATACACTTCAGGTTTTGATAAGTAATAACCTCAGGTTGAAAACGAAACACCTTAAAGTAGTAAATATCTACCTCTCCACAGACATAAAATGTAACACCTCAGGTTGAAACCTGAGGAAGTATATTTAAGGTACATGTGAGGAGAATTTTGAAGTATTCATTTGCACCCTTTTCAACCTAACGACGTTTTTAAATAACAACTTCGTTTATACGGTTGAAAAAATAGCACCTCACAAATAACAATGCAAATCAGCCTCACACACCTCTCGAACCATAACTTTGCATAGTTTTAATTATGTTATGGATCGAAAACCAATAATTGGTATGAGTATGCTCCACACCATAGCACCTGTTATGTTTAAAACTTCTATAACCATTTTATGCAGAATCAAAAATAAATCTAAATAATAACTTCTTAACTAATTTTTTATTTCATTAAAACTACAAAAGTATTCTACTTATATACTTAACGTATGTAACTAACTATTCAACATTTCTTAAACTATCCCTTAAGACTGCATAACAAAATCAATTTAAACAAATACTTAACGCATAACTAATCATTTTACACTACTTAAATTATTACTTAAGACAACTTAACAAAATGAATTAGATAGAGAAATTCCAGCTCTTTTGTTGCCACATAAGAGAAATAAATATAAAGATCATTGATGATTTTTTATTACGGTCAAAACTCTCTCTGCTGAATCTGACGAAACTTTTTCGGAAAAAAAATAAATATCGATAATTATAAATATTTTTTAAAACATAAAAAAATTAGGGCACCTAAGAATTAATAAAAGAAAAGTTATAAAATGCATTGAATTCAGAAAGTACACGAAAAAAAATGTTTTAATGTTAAAAACTTTTTAAGAGTATAGTTAGTTCTATTTGCTCCACCGTACCACCAATTGCTCTGTAGCGGATTCAGTAATTCTGGATGTGTTATCTTTCTTTTACTTTTGTTACCTATTCTTCGACTTCAACGCACTTATATGTCCTACTTTTGTACACGCAAGCCTGCAATGTATGTGCAACAACAACTAACTAACTAAATAAATAAACTTTTTTTTAACATTGTTGAAAAAGTTATTTGTTACAAGAACAGAATTCTGTTTTCAGCTACTTGACGGAATTTAGTATAACGGAGTACGACAGAATTTAGGTGGTAAAAAAATAAGAAAGTTAAATCATTGCATCTTAATGTATTTTGA